GAGGTTAAGAGCACTGGCTGTTCTTCCAGAGGTCCTGAGTTCAATTCCCAGCAACCACATGGTGGCTCACAACCATCTGTAACAAGATCTGATGCCCTCTTCTGGCCTGCAGTCACATATGCTGTATACATAATAAATAAATAAATCTTTTTTTAAAAAAAAAGAATTGGGATTTGGTTTTTGGGGGTTTTTTGTTGTTGTTGTTTATTCGAGACAGGGTTTCTCTGTGCAGCTTTGCACCTTTCCTGGAACTCACTTGATAGCCCAGGCTGGCCTCGAACTCACAGAGATCCGCCTGGCTCTGCCCCCTGAGTGCTGGGATTAAAGGCGTGTGTCACGGCTCTTCATTTTCTCCGGGCTTCTGTCTACCAATCCCTTCACCAGTTCTCCACTTTTCACCCTGCCTGCTTCACTACTGCACAGGTAACCATGACTACAGGAAAAACAAACCCACCAAGACAGTTCTCCTCCCATTTTTGAGCTTCCAAAAACTGGGGCTTTAACATGAACAGCCCATCAGCAAATTCACAAAAGCAATGTCTGGACCCTAGAGTAAAATTTTAAGAAGAAATGCCCTCATTGGTTAGATTACATTCTCACTGAATTACAGGCGACTGCTTAAGCTTGATTTTTTTTTAAATGAGAATACAGAAAGCATCCAAAAAACAAACAAACAAACAAACAAAAACAAAACAAAAAAAACCCTACACTTCTAATTCCAAGGATGTCTACCCCTACATCATTCCACCCATTTTGGGGGAAGAAAAAAAAAATTAAGACTCTATATGGGCATTTTTATGTGTTCAATTATGAAACCCAAGGAAAATTGTTTGTTTTGTAGCTGAACACTAAAGCTTTAACAAAAAAAAATTTTTTAATTCCCATTGGTATCAATTTTACCTTTTTTCCATTTCTCCTCCTTTTCCCTCACACTGAGCTCTAATCAACAGCCACTTCCAGATTAACATGTCATTGTTAATGCAATTACACCCAGAAAACTGCTTCCCTAAAGCTGTTCCCTCTCTTTACACTCCCCTCCACCTTCCACCAAGCATTCTACCACAAGAATAAACTCATCTGTAAGCTTGAAATCAATTTTCTGATGAAATACATGGAGTTACTGTGTTTGTGGTTAATGCAACGTGCCTACATCAACATCGTCCCCTTAAAAGTAATATATGGTTGTATATACTTCATTTATCTACACCTAACAAAATTCTGATCGCTCGAATTCCTTTAGAAAAAACTTCAATCTATAGAAACAGCCCAATTATTTTAAATCTTAACAAGTAATGTCAAAAGAATGAACAACTCCATCAGTACCAAACCATCTTGCCAATGAATATTTATTACATTTCCATATTTCCTGTCTTCTCTCCTGTTTACATAAAGGGTAATGCCAAGACTCATCTCAGGATTATCAGTCTGCAATCCAATGATGGGCCTAATTGCCTTGCAAACCAGGACACCAATAAATGGAGTCTTCAAGCAATCAGTTTTATTGGGGGGAGGTGGGGCTTGCTAACCTCTTTCTGCACACACACACCTTGCCTGCCTAGAAAATAAATCCAGTCTTCCTATTTTTCAATATCATTAATCAGTTCTCAAGCAAGAATGTCCCCTACCAACCTCAAGTTCATCAAAGTCCATTTAAATTACAAATTCCAGAACTAGTTTTCAGTGTACCAGGGGGAGGAGGGGAAAGGAGAAGGCAGAGACAGTTTCACCTTCTCCCACATTTCCATTGAGAGCTGGTCCCCCCATCCCCCAAGTTTCTCTTTATGACAGAGGAACTGCAAGACACCCCCTTCTCTGTTAATTCTACCTTAAATGAAGGTTCTCTCAAAACTTTACCCTTGGGCTGTTATTTCCAGACAATACCAACATAAACCAAACAAAAAGGTCAAATTGACAGCTATTATCCCCTAGGAGAATCTTTAATGTACCTGCTCTGTCTCCTGTGGAAGACCCTTCTAATGACCTTATTATTATTGTCTCTCACCAAAGCAACCATGGATGTAAGTGTTCTAACCCCTAAACCTCTAGTGCGCCCTGGAGGACATCCTTTCCTAAATGAGCCAACCCACTTCTTCCCAGTACTGCTCCCTGGCCCTCTCCATCCTCTGTCCCAACAACCGTACCCAAAACGCTGGGTCTTTCAGGTCTTAAATTCCCCCTCTGCCACCACACCACAGGTAACCAGCTCATCACAGACATCACTTCTGCAAAACGGGCAGAGAGACATTTTCTTGAAGACACCATCCCCTAACCTTGCTCACCACCTGCCAGTGTTCTCTCAGCGAGGCCAGCTGAGTAGGTAGGCTTACATACCCTCTGCCTCCAACTTCCGCCCAGGGCAGCCACCTTGCTCCCTCCAGTGACTGGAAACTCACCCTAAATCCTCTTCCACTGTGCTCTCGTCCCCAATTCCAATCCCTGCCCTCCGATTTGGGGCCCAACTTACAATACTCCCTCCTGTCAGCTTACCATCCATCCCCTGTAGTTGGGAGTCTCATCCCTCCCAGCCCATATTCCAACCTCCAGCAGCCGACCCCAAGGAAACCCCAAATTCTACCTCTTCTGTCCTCTCCAAACCCGAGCTATTTCCTTAAGTATTCACAAATTCCACCATCCCCAGAAGACAACAGCCCACTTCAAGCTTAGGTCTCAACCCCTGCCAAGCCCGTCACCCCCAGCTCCTACCAGCTCCATCAGCCTTCCCCAGGTCCACCCCAAACCCCACCTTCCAGAATTAGCACTCCCCGGAGTCCCGTCCAACGTTTAGATCCCACTCCGCATTTAAAAGATCTCCTTAGCCCCCACCCCAGCTCCGATCTCAAGCTGTCAACTGCTTCAGGCCAACCCCAAATCATCACCTTCATCCAGTCCCCTCCCCCAATAAAAGACATCCCACTCCAGTCTCACCTTCCACCTCGCCCCAAGACAATCCCCAATCCCACCTCGATACCCCACACACGCCATGCTCCTGTCCCAGGTCTGGTTATCCCTCCATGTAAAGTCGCCCCCCCCCACGCCCCCGCTACCCTCCCTTGACCTGCTGGTGTCCCACCCTCACCCAACCCCCAGCCCGCGCTCGGACAAGTCTCCCCCCACCAGCCCGCCGTTCCATCGCGGTCCACCTCGGTCCCCTCCCCCGCGGCCGGCGCGGGGGCCCCACGGCCCCCACCCTCCTTCTCGCCGGCGCCACCAGCCCAAGCTCCACAGGAGCGGGCCGGGGGGCGGGGGGTCTCCTCACCGGAGAGCTGCTGCAAGCGAGAACCGCGGCGGCGGCGGCGGCGGCGGCGGCAGCTGAGGCGACGGTGCCCTTGTCTTCTCCGGAGGCTACAGCGGCGACGCTCTCGTCCCCTCGTCCGTGTCCAGTAGGGTGGTGGATGGCGCGCGGGGACGGGAGCCTCCTCCTCCTTCTCCTCAGCTACTCGGCTCTGGATCCTCTGCAGTAGCCGCGGAGAAACCCGACAGTGGGGGAAGGGGACGCTCGGCTGCAGGCAAGAGAGGAGGAGGCGGAGGGAGGGGGCGGGGGACCTCTGAGAAGGGCGGGGGAGGAGGAGCCCGCGCGCCGTCCCGACACGTCCCACAGCCTCAGAGCCCCCTGGACTACAACTCCCGGCATGCTCCGCCGCGGCCCTGCGCGGCCTGCATCTTCCAACCGCGCGCCGGTCCTGGGGCCGCACCCTCTTGGGTCACAGACAATGGAATGAAGCCGACCGTCCACGGAAGACTTTTGTAAACTCAAAGACCGCTTGAGAGGGAAGTCGGATATTTCTGCAGCCTCATCTCCATGAAGAAAAACTCTCTTCGTCTCCAACCTATACAAACACTCGTTTCCGCCCAAGGGACTACACCTCCCAGCATGCCACACACAGCTGCCCAGCCTTCTCCTTCCGGACCCCTCTCAGACTCGGTACTACAGTTCCCAGGAGTGTGGTCCTTGCGAAATGCTGGGACATGCAGTTCTCAGTCCTTCCTCCATGTTAAGAAAAAGAAGTGAAAGAGAGGAAAAGGGGAAGGACTGTTCCAACCCACAGCGCTTGGGCCTAGATGGGCTACATCACCTGTAATGCTATACTCCCCTCGCCATCTCCTCGTCACTGTCTCTCCAGAATTAACGCAGCCGCCGCCTCACTGGCTTCCCTGCAGATTAAAGGACGATTCTGCAACTTGAATCCTCATGTAAAAAGGACATTTGTTTACATTTACGTTACTTATAAATATTTAGTTTGCAAAAATGATCGGAAATGTTAGAAAGGAATGACCAAGGTTATTAGAGGAGGTTGTTGAATAGGAGGCGGGGAGGATGTAGATACCCATCAATATGGGCTGATTCAATAAATGGTGATGCCTACATACAACGCAGTGCTAAGCAGCCATTTAAAATGCTGATAGATGTCTTTAGACATGGAAGGCTCTTCACAATTTGCTCTCGGAGGGGCAAACTGATTACAGAAACAGCATGATTAGACAGGTTCGATTTATTTGAAGTTTAAGGGTATAAAATGCATAACGGTTTCAGGAGAGAGATTCTTCAAAATGTTATCAGTGATTGTCTTTGAAAAAGGGTTGTTAGGTTTCTAGTCACTCTTATTTTATATTGCCTGAATTGCTATTTCCAAAAAAATATCTCCAAATACAACAAGCTCTCTTTCCCACCTAGAAACTTTCCTTGGTTCCCGGTTTCCTGAATGGTGCTTTAGGACTGTGTGTCTTTCTGTAAACTCAGGAGATCCACTATTTAAAAACGGTGGTTATGCACTGTTAGTTACTTCTCTGCTTGCTGAGACAAAATACCTGACAATGGCAGCCTACGGAAGGAAGGAAGGAAGGAAGGAAGGAAGGAAGGAAGGAAGGAAGGAAGGAAGGAAGGAAGGAAGGAAGGAAGGAAGGAAGGAAGGAAAGGGTTTTGTTCTGTTTTTCAGGGTTTGTGTTTTTGTTTTGTTTTGTTTTGTTTTTGGGGGGGTGTTTTTTTTTTTTGAGGCAGAGTTTCTTGGCTGTCCTGCAGATCACTCTGTAGACCAGGCTGGCCTCCAATTCACAGAGATCCACCTGCCTCTGCGTAGACCACCACAGCAAGGATGGGAGGGTTTATTTTGACTTAGTTTCATATTAGGAAAGATGTGTGTCAGGTCCAAAAGAAACTCAGGACAAATGGCTATCTGTGCTGCCTATTAGCACACCTAAGCACATCTGGCCTCTGTGTTCCCTCCGTATCAGAAGAACCTGTTACAGAGTCCATAGTAGCATCCAGGCTCTTCTTTACCCCCATCATAAATTTCTCCAGTTCATGGGCTTCCCTCCCCACAGCTTTTCATTCCCTCATGACCCTACTATTTTGTCTCTTGTCTCCCTCCCTCTTGGCCAACTCTTTCCCTTCCTCTCCCCATCTCTCTCTCCTCTCATGGCCAAGTCATCTGCTGGCCATGTTCAGTCTATTTGTCTCTCTGCTCTGGGTTCTTCCAGATGCCTCTGGCTGCACTCTCCCTCATATGGACAATAAAAACCTTCCGATTAGCCATACTTTGGAGTGGTCATGTTGTCAGGTCATGTAGATTGGCATCAGGAACAGGTTACATGAGAGGGAGATACTTGTGCTCAGAAAGTACCTTCTCCCTTTTATTCAGTCTAGGAACCCCATCCCATGGCACTGCCCACATTTAGGGTGAGTCTTCCTACCTCAATTAACCTAATCTAGATAATCCCTCAGACATGCCTAGAGATTTTTTTCCATAGTAATTCTAAATCTCCTCAAATTGGCAAGATTAACCATCACAATTATAATTTATTTAAAAAAAAAAACATAAAGAGAGCAAGGAACTCTCAATTTCTCTTCTCAAATTATTTCTTTTTCTGGGCTTTCTCCCCCTGCTCCAAAGTCTCATACAGCCCAGGCTGGACTGGAACTGGCTGTATCGGAAGCTTTACTCTCCAGTGCTGGAAATACAGGCATACATCATGTACCCAGCTTCTCTTTCTCCCTGCCCAAGCCAATTATACCTCCCATAGAGTACATTTTCAACACACACTGGTTTTCTTTATATCTTATTTTCTTTCTTTCTTTTCTTTTTTTCTTTTCTTTTTTTTTTTT